AAGCCACCAGATAACATTGATAATTTTGCAATACCAGAGCGGCAATGGCTGCAGTGTCACATCGACCGGGTAAAAACTCAGCTTCATTATAATCTTTGAGCAATGCCTGAAGCTGTGCAATGAGATCAGAAGACCTTTGGTTCCTCCACACAACAGAGCCAGACCAACCTAAAAAGTAGAAAAGAAAAAACAGAACTTGTACCAAGAAAAGGGTAAAAGTTCTCATCAGTTAATGAACAGTGATGAATGAACAGGGACACATTTTTTTTTGCCCTTTTTGAGCAAATTAGCAATGAGACAAACAAAAAGTGTCATGTAAGTAATGAGAGGGACAAAAAGGAAAAGTTTTCTTTTTCTTTATAAAAGTTCTGCAGGGATTGAAGTTGCGAGCTTCTTGTTCAGTCTTTAAACCATAAACAGAATCTCCAGTGTCATGCAAGTTAATCAACAAAATAGACTTCAGGAGTTTATCACACGGCTAAAACAAAGTTAGGAGCTGAATTGGCCGGAAATTCACCGACAATCTAAATCAAACAGGAGGAATTTAAGAATGAGATATGAAGTAGAACGCTCACTAGCTGGGACAAGGATAAGAATTTTGGAGTTTTGAACCGCTCGTGATGCCATTTTCCGCGAATGATCTGAACGAACTCAAGCTTATCGGGAATGCTGAGTATCAGTCGATATCACTTCCAGCTACAACAAATCGATGGGAATTCAATTGACACAAGAACAGATTCAGAGACTCACGAAGAAGGAAGATAAACACAGTTAAATACAGACTGAGAAAAAGAACTGAGAGAGATTTCCTTAACGACGCTCGACTATTTAAGCTTCCTGAGCTGCTCGAACCTTCTACGCAGTCGATTCTACGTCTGGTGCCACGTCGCTCGTCCCCTCCACATCGTCTCCCTCCATCGCTAGCGTGGCATGGCTACTCAAGGTCAAAGCGGGCATTGTTGGAACTAACGAACTCGAGCAGACCATCCGCGACGTTGACGCGGGCAGAGGTGATTTCCATTTTATTTTTATTTGATTCCTTTCTATCAATATCAATATTTTGTCACGGCATATTCAAAATTATTCAAGATTGAATAGATTACACAAAGTATTAAATTATGAAATTACAACATCGGATAGAAGACTATTCTAGTTGACTAATTTAAGTAGATTAAGAAAATTAGTTAAATTAGTTTTATAATAAATTAGTGTTGTCTTTTTTAAAATATTTTTAGTTATCAAATATATTGGTTAGAACTACTATTATTATAAGAACTACCTTAAAAAAATAAATATAAGAGACAAAGTGGATTAAAATTTTATATTTAAAATTAAAATAAAAATCAAACAAACTTTTATATTAAAGATCAGAGTTACTATCTTAATTTCAAATTAATTAAGATCAATTGTAAATATAAGGAACTCAATTATAAATCCTAGAATATTAGTTGTAATTCATTTTTAAATGATGAAAGTTCTGTAACTTCTAAAAATTTAATTTCCCAATTTTAAAAACTCATTTGTAAATAATGAAATATTAATTGCAAATATACTGTAAGTTATAATATTAAAATCTCAATTATAAATTCCAAATTACTCAATTCTAAAAGTAAAAAGAAATGATTGGTTAATTCTTTTAAATGTTTTGATTTGATTCCCAATTTATAATTTCATTTGCTATTAATTTCAATATATGCAGCTAAGATTCTAAGACTTAACTGAGTTGTAATTAATTTTTCAACATTTATGTTTGAGCTTCATGGTTTGCAAGTTACAACTGGATACTTCACAATTACTGCTTAAATAAAATATTTCTGAATTAAGTTAATTAAATTTATCTATTAAGATATACAAAAATAAATATTAGAATATTCTTACTCATAAAGAAAATTGATTTCCTTATATTTTTATAAATAACATTGAATTAGGAAGCACGGAAGCATGCATCATAATTTTTAAGTTATCAATACTCCTAGTAATTAGAGTGTACCTCTTCTTTATTTACCCACTGTTAATTTTTATGGATATACCATTATGACTTCATGAATAAATCAATAAAGAATACCTTAAAATGATTTTGAACTAAGATATAATTTAAAGGGAGCTATATTGTGTATATAAGTGATACGTAATACTTTTTATTCAAGATTCTATACAATAAGCATATCATTCGTAGTAGCTTCGAGGGGGACAAGCTGGTTTGGTTTGATAGAAAAATTGTAAGAATTGAAAGGATTAAAGGGTGTATTGCGGCTAATACAACACAAATTATAAAATACAAGTAAAATAACATCTTCACCTAGTCACTCTTGCTTCCCGAGTAAGAAATTGAGGGTTTATAAACTCACACTCCTCCTCTGTTCATCTCCGCATTGAAAATTTTTTATTTTCAAATTCAAAATCGTCGAGTCACTAATGAGGTTTTTTGTTTGGGTGATAAACGGGGCCTAAGCCCAACAGATCTAAAAAGATAAGAAAATCACGGTGTTTGAAGTCAATAAAAGCACTTAAAAATGTTTTCCGAGTTAAAATTTTTTCATATATTTATTTTGAAGATGTTTAAGTGGACATCAAACTATAATTTTAAAATTAATTATATGGTATATAAAATAAGTATGTAAGATAAGTTTTATGTCGACTTATATAAAAGTACTTTTTAAAAGTGATTTTAAGAGTAGGAAAATGCTTGTTTCGTATATCATAAAATTATTTTTAAAACCATTATTTGATTTCATTTTTGCTCATGTTTCTGTGCGTAAACACCTACTCAATCTACAGATGAACTTCACAGAACAGTCTCCTCAAAATTATTTCTTCAAATTAATATTAATTGTCACGTCACTATGTAGAATTTATATTTAGATGCGCTCTTTTATGAAAAATAAATCAAATTATTGCAAGTGGAACTTTTTTTTGGGCCTGTACAAATGGAACCGCGCCATTCATACTTCTTACTGGATTGTTAAATTTTATGCCGAAGAATGCTCATTTTCCTGCCGTAACGCGAGGAGATCCAAATTCAAGTAGAAACCCGTCTTTTCTCACGTTCAAAATTCAAGCCAATTTGGCGAGTTTAGAGTCTAGTTCGTTGATTTACCAAACAGACCAGCGGATTTCCAATTCGATTTAGTTTCTCAAACCTTGAGCACCCGTCTTGAGAGTTCATCCAAAGATTAGTGTTCAAAAGAATCTGGTATATGGCCTGGTCGTGTAAATTATTAACGGATAACGTGAAAATTTGCTCCAAAAATTTGTGTTTGGGAGCCTTAGGTATCCGAAAGTATTTGTTGATTCAATATTGCCTTGGATGTTTTCAAACCATAGCAATTTTTCCCTGCCCGTTAGCCAAGTTAAGTCTGACTGTTAGTTAATCAACTATGCTGAGTTGACTAGTCCATGTATTGTTCACATCATTTTCTTTTTAGAGTTAAAATGCAAATTTGTCTAAGAAGTTTTTGTTCAAAAACGTTGGGTATCCAAAAGTTTTAAATTGTAGCAGTATTTGCCTTAGATGCTATCCATATTAAATTTGACTATTAACTAACCAAATGTGCTGAGCTGATAGATTCATGTGTGATTCACTTCATTCTTTATTCATAATCTTATGCCATTTCTCCAACACAAAAACAATTCTTTTCACACATTTATTATTTCTTCATTCGATCTTAGTTTAGTACGTTTTATAAGAACAAAAGTAAAGCATAAAAATATAGTAAATAATATATGTGGAGAAGAATCTTGCAAGAATTTTTAAAAGATATAAATGATGAGGTCGATTTCAAACATAGCCACAGGTTTGGAAAGCATAGAAGCAATGATTTTTCCAGAGTTAGTACTAAATCTTCACCTTAAAAAAATAAAGTGAATCACACGTGGACCTATCAATTCAATATATTTAGTTAATTAATAGTCAAATTTAAAACGGATAATAGTTGGGGCAACATTATTACAATTTCAAAATTTCCGGATACCAAGCGCTCTTCAGTAAAAATTTTTAAGGCAAATTTGCACTTCACCAACTCAACATAGTTGGTCATCTAACGATCAAATTTAACCTAGATAACGACTAAGGCGATATTCAGGTAAAAAATATTTTCGGATACCCAGCATTTCAAAGTGCAAACTTTCAAGATAAATTTTACACTTTAACCCAATTATTAATGACCTAATTCGATTATGCATAAAAGGGGATTATATGTAATTATGGTGTTTGCCTATATTCCTATTGTTTGGTTGGTTTCAATGTAATGCATCCCCACATGGGGGGGGGGTATGTAATCCCCGTTCCCATATGCTATAATCCAATTTTTATTCAAATGCTCCTCACCCTTCCCAGGCTTCCATCATCTTTCTTCTCCTCATCTCAAACCAACTCTAGCAAACGATACCCTACTGCCACCTTCATCCAGATCAACAACTTCAAATGCCATCGGACACCATCATTCAAATCAACCAAGATCAAATGCCATCAAACCCCGCAGCGACGGTCAACGACCTTTTCTCCTCCAATACTCGAGTCCACTACCAAATCTGCTTGCTAACCCACCCATTCTCAAAGATCATAGAACTTGTAAAACATTTACCACCAAATCCATTGGTAAATCTCCATTTTCAACCAACTGATTCCTTACTCATTTATAAATCCCATAGGAATTACTTGGAATAATTTAAAAACAACTTTTTAATTATGATTTATAAACTATGAAATAAGTATAAAATAAACATGTTAAAAAAGTTTTATCTCAATTTATGGCAATGTACTTATAAATCACAGCTCCAAACAAGCCTGAACTTTTCTTCATTGCTGCTTTTTATGAACAATTCCTGATTTTGTATGAAGATTGATGAGATTTTCTGAGTTGATTAGGTATGAGAAAGAAGCACCGGAAGGAGGAACGGCCTTTCCTTTTCTTTTTCGTTGAAAGGGCATTTTTGTCTTTTTGATTTTATCAATCTTTAAGAAAATATTAAAAACATACCCCCTTCAATATTGTACCAAACAAGCTTATCCTAATCACTATTACATTACAATCTATTCTATTACATTCTCATTGATTCCACGAACCAAACGAGCTGTTTTCAAGTCATATATACAAGAGAGATCCTAGAATCAATGGAACTGTTACTTTTACGTGGACATGGGATTTTGACCCTTTCATTTTTTTCCTCCAACCTCTCTGTTTCCTTTATCATCAAATAAATAAAATAAAACCGCCGGTGCATTGTCTTGTTTGATTAATACTGAGTTTGTTTCCCGTCATTTTGTACCTATAAAATTGTAAATGACCCTTTAAAGAATTGAGATAACTTTATGTTTCCCATGGGAAGAAGTTCTCACGAATTTCAGTCCTGCAGAACCAAGCAGGCAACGAGCCAGCCAATCAATCATGGTTGAAACAAAGGGTTAATCTCACACCTAACCCATGATGTCCTCGCCCAGAGAAATGTTAACCGGAAATGATCTGCGTACTCTTGTTCTCGAGATGGGGCCTTTTTCATTGGCAAAACTGATACCACCTTTCTTTGTGTCCGAGACGGATTTCTCGACTGTTTCTGTCGTTTCAGTAATGAATTGCAGCCCCTGAATAACATTGAATCAGGTCACCAATGGACGGAGTTTGAGAATGATGAATTTGAACAATTTATAGAGAACTGACATACCTTAAGCGAAGATTCACCCACAAGAGCCTTTGTTGAATGGTCTGCAAGTTCCGTGCTGACTTCCTGTCAAAGGATTCCAACAATCAAAATTAGCACCGGGAAAGGAAAGAAAAGGGGGGAAAAAAAAGAAGAAGAAGAAGAACGAAAGTTAACTTAACAGGCATGGACCATGAAGATGAAAAATCTTAGAGGATAAGTATAGAAAGATGAAAAATCTGACCTTGAATAGTCTACTGCTTGGCTGCCCTGTAAACTGATCAGCTAACCGGCACAGATACCAGAGACCTGAGTTAGTTATGTCCTGCATGAAAATTTCCAAAGAAGCAAAGGTGAAAAATCATATGTGAGCGCTCCTGCGCATGTAAATCAGAATATATTCTAGACAATAATAGTTAATCCATGTAACTGCAGAGTTAAATCATGACCTGTTTGCTTTCAACAAGCTTGAGCTTTCCTTCCTGTCAAGTTGATAAAATATATTAAAGTCACTACTTCAACAATGCAATATTTCAAGTCAGTTGGATGCTTAAAAGTGGGAGAAATATAGTTTACCAGGCCGGAAATCATTTCATGGATGCGTCCAAAATCACCCCCAATTTGCGAAAGGTTTGACTTCACTTCATTCACCTGTATAAAAATAAAAATAAATGAGCATGCAGGAACGAACTTCCATATATAGCCTGAGATGAATTTTGCAATTACGCAAGAAGCTGGCTCTTGAAACTGACTGCAGACCACCCAGTCCACAAGGGATACTAATGTTATGAAGGAAGAAGCAAAGTTCAAGTTGAATTTTGCCACGCAAAAATAACAATAGCAACTTCAATCTTAACAAAGCAATTCAAAACATAATGGAGGACGGGCACATTGATCCAGATATAGTCATAATTCACTGATTCTGAGGAATAACTTGAAACACAGTTCATTTGATTGATCCTATATTTAGACGTGTCTTCTTCATGTGTAACAACTTCTTGCCTTAATTGCATTAACAAAATTGCCCAGATTGTAAAGAAAATCAACATCTCTTACATCATTTGCAATAAGCTGGGTTAACTCATTGTACTCCTCAATTTTCAGGTCCAAAACTTCTAGTTTCTCTGTTAGATGCTTTCTAGTTGACTGCATGCGTCGTTTAAACAAAGTTGTTCAGCAACCAACACAGATGTAAGATGGTCAAACTGTGAAAATTTTATGTCAACAGTTGCGACTTACAGCTAATGTTTCATGTACATTCTCCAATTGCTTTGTCACGGTTGCAACAGCATTGGCCATTTTACGCTTTGTCACAAACATTACATCAGAAAATGACCATCAAAGATAGATGAAAAATATGATGAATGCATTAATAGCATCATTACATACCACCATTGCTTCTAGATCAATTGCAGATATACAAATAATCTTTTGATTAAACAATTGTCTCACCTTCCACCACATGTAGCAATAACCCATAACTCCTATTGCAGCAGCTGGTAATAGGTAAGATGCATAACTCCCTATGTGCAAATAATTCACACCAACAGCATTTTGTAGTTAGCAAAAAGAAAACCTTTTAGATAGAGAAAAATATTACTCTGTCATTATAATAAAATCACTCTACTTTTATTACATGAGAGTAACAGGCAAGATTAGAACATCCTAGATCTAACGAGGTGATCATTCAAAACTACAACCAGGAAAATCCACCATCTCACTAACTTTGAAGGAACACATACTAAAGTACCCAAACAAAGGGAAAGATTGTCAGAGGAATACTACGAAAACATGGAATAAATAAGGTTATTTCGGCCATACAGAGAATCTTGCAGGTAGAATCAATCAGTTAACCATTCAGGAAAATCTTGAATTTCAGCAAAAATGGATTGAAAGAGATAAAATCAGGTGCCTTGAAGTATTCTGATAAAAATATAATTTTTATCACTACAACTAACTCAAAAGGAACAAAGAAAGAGACATGCAAAACTCGTGATAAACTGAAAATAATTCATGCTACATACCATTAGAGGAAGAGTTGCCATTGAAGATAGTTACAGGATTGGATGAGGTCAGCTCCCTAATATCTTGAGCTAGTTGTCGAATCTGAAGTTAAAACATGCAGGTTTATTTTGCATTAATTAATGTATTCCCTCTACAGATATAACTTTAATATGAATTATCCTGCAATTTAACAACAATCAGATTTAAAGAGATGGGGCAAAAGAAAGGTTTTCTCCTTCAAATACATCATATAGATGCTTCTGTCTTGTTCATCAACAGGTCGCTTCACTTGTGCAAAAGGTCAATGGTGGGGCTGATCTACTGAGCTAGTTACGACCATTGACTATGACCAAGCATGTAGTCAGAGTATAGACAATAAAATCCTTATTTGGCAGGTTTGGAGTATATCTTTGGCCGCTATGACTAGAGTTTGGTTCTCCCTTTGACTTTGAGGCTTCCATAGCTTTGAACTTTATTCGTTCCCAGAAGCAATAGGAGCATAGAGTTCACTGGCCCTGTAGAGTCATTAATGGTTTTGGCCACATCTTATTTAGAAGAGGATTATTTTCATGTGTTCTCCGTGGATTTCCAGAAACATGAAGGTTTCTGGAAATCTCCTGAGCTAGTTGTCGAATTTGAAGTTAAAACATGCAGGTCTGATGTGTATTAATTGATATATTCCCCCTAAAGATGTAAGTTTTATGATGAATTATCCTGCAACGCAACAGTAATCAAATTCGAAGTTATGGGGTAAAATAAAGGTCTTGTCCTTCAAATAGATCACCATAGATACTCCTATCTTATTCATCACAAGGTTTCTTCATTTGGGCAAAAAATCAGGGTGGAGCTGATCCGCTGAGCTAGCTTCTAACATTAGCCATGACCAAGCAAGTTGTCGGAGTAAAGACAATAAGTCCTAATTTAGCAGATTTGGAATATATGTTTGGTTGCTTTGATGAGATTTGGGTTTGTCCATCTGATAGACAGGCTTTTGTAGCCATGAAGTTTACGTGATTCAGGAAGCAACGGGAACATAACATTCTTCAGCCTTGTGATCATTACAGGCTTTAAAAGAGAATTATTTTCACGTTCTATTTATGGATTTCTACAAAATGGTTGTTCTTTTATCTCCATTTCTTTTTTTCGTGTAGAAGGGGGAGGGGTGCCCCTTGCGGACATTCAAAGGAATTGGAAGGTTCTTTTGAATTAGACATCGGGTTTCTCTACCCCAATATCTTACAGTCTTCCCCTAGTTCCCCCAAAATCAATTTCTTATGGCCTGCCCCATTGATTTGTACCATATGAAAAATAGTCCGAATTTTACGAAGACAAGGAAGCCACCAGATAACATTGATAATTTTACAATACCAGAGCGGCAATGGCTGCAGTGTCACATCGACCGGGTAAAAACTCAGCTTCATTACAATCCTTGAGCAATGCCAGAAGTTGTGCAATGAGATCAGAAGACCTTTGGTTCCTCCGCACAACAGAGCCAGACCAACCTAAAAAGTAGCAAAGGAAAAACAAAACTTGTACCAAGAAAAGGTAAAAGTTCTCATCAGTTAATGAACAGCGATGAATGAACAGGGACACTTTTTTTTTTTAAGCAATGAGACAAAAAAAAAGTGTCATGTAAGTAATGAGACGGACAAAACAGGAAAAGTTTTCTTTTTCTTTATAAAGGTTCTGCAGGGATTGAAGTGGCGAGCTTCTTGTTCAGTCTTTAAACCATAAACGGAATCTCCAGTGTCATGTAAGTTAATCAACAAAATAGACTTCAGGAGTTTATCACACGGCTAGAACAAAGTTAGGAGCTGAATTGGCCAGAAATTCACCGACAATTTAAATCAAACAGGATTTAAGAATGAGATATGAAGTAGAACGCTCACTAGCTGGGACAAGGATAAGAATTTTGGAGTTTTGAACCGCTCGTGATACCATTTTCCGCGAATGATCTGAACGAAATCAAGCTTATCGGGAATGCTCAGTATAAGTCGATATCACTTCCAGCTACAACAAATCGATGGGAATTCAATTGACACTCAGGAAGAAGGAAGAGAAACACAGTTAAATACAGACTGAGAAAGAGAACTGAGAGAGAGATTACACGCCATTTCCTTAAGGTGGCTTGACTGTTTAAGCTTCCTGAGCTGCTGGAACCTTCTACGCGGTCGATTCTACGTCTGGTGCCACGTCGCTCGTTCCCTCTACATCGTCTACCTCCATCGCTGGCGGGGTATGGCTCCTCAAGGTCAAAGCGGGTAACGAACTCGAGTAGACCACCCGCGAGGTTGGCGCGGGCCGAGGTGATTTCCCGTTTTATTTTTCATTTGCTGGGAAAAATAAATATCAATTGGAAATATATTGTAAGCTATATTTTGTAAATATTAAAATTTCAATTGTAAATTCCAAAAGACTCAATTCTAAAAGTAAAAAGAAATGATTGGTTAATTCTTTTAAATGTTTTGATTTGATTCCCAATTTATAATTTAATTTGCTATTTATTTTTCAATATATGAAACTAAGATTATAAGACTTAATTGAGTTGTAATTAATTTTTCAACATTTATGTTTGGGCTTCATGGTTTGCAAGTTACAACTGGATACTTCACAAGTAGTACTTAAATAAAATATCTCTGAATTAAGTTAATTAAATTTATCTATTAAGATATACAAAAATAAATATTAGAATATTCTTACTCATAAAGAAAATTGATTTCCTTATATTTTCATAAATAACATTGAATAAGGAAGCATAGAAGCATGCATAGTAATTTTTAGGTTGCCAATGCTCCTAATAAGAACAGTATACCTTTTCTTTAATTATGGATATACCATTATGGCTTCATGAATAAACCAATAAAGAATACCTTAAAATGATTTTGAACTAAGATATAATTTAATGGAAGCTATATTGTGTACATAAGTCATAAATATTTATTCAATATCCTATACAATAAGCATATGATTGATTGGCAGTAGCTTTGAAAGGGACATTCTGGTTTGGTTCAATAGAAAAATTGCAAGAATTGAAAGGATTAAAGGGTATATTACCGCTAATATAACACATTATAAAATAGAAGTAAAATAACATCTTCACCTAATCACTCTTGCTTCCCGACTAAGAAATAGAGGGGTTTATAAACTCACACTCCTCTGTTCATCTCCGGAGCAAAATATTTTTATTTTCAAATTAAAAAAAAAATCGTCAAGTCACTATGAAGATCTTTTTTGGGTGATAAACGGGGTCCAAGCCCAAGAGATCTAAAAAGATAAGAAAATCAGGGTGTTTGATGTCAATAAAAGCACTTAAAAAAATATTTTTACATAAGTCAAGTTACAATTTTTTTTATATATTTATTTTGGAGGTGTTTGAGTGAACATCAAACTATAATTTTAAAATTAATTTTTTGGTATACGAAGTAAATATGTGAGATGAATTTTTTTTCGATTTGTGTAAAAATATTTTTTAAAAGTGATTTTAAGAGAAACTAAACACTCCTTTTTGTATGTCGTAAAATTATTTTTAAAATTATTATTTGATTTCATTTTTGCTCCTGTTCCTCTGCCCTAAACTCCAACTCAACCTCCAGATGAACTTCACAGAACAGTCACCTCAAAATTATTTTTCCAAATTAATATTAATCGTCAAGTCAGTATGTAGAATTTATGATGTACTCTTTTACGAAAAAATAAATTAAATTATTACAAATGGAATTTTTTTTAATGGGCCTGTACAAATGGAACTGAGCCATTCATACTTCTTACTGGATTGTTAAATTTTATGCCGAAGAATGCTCATTTTCCTGCCATAACGCGAGGAGATCCAAATTCAAATAGACACCCATCTTTTGTCAAGTTCAAATTGCAAACCCATTTAGCGAGTTTAGGGTCTAGTTCGTTGATTTACCAAACAGACCAGCGGATTTCCAATTCGATTTAGTTTCTGAAACATTGAGCATCCGTCTTGAGAGTTCATCCAAGGATGAGTGTTCAAAAGAATCTGGTAAATGGCCTGGTCGTGTAAATTATTAAGGGATAAGGTGCAAATTTACATTTAAGAACACTAGCTATCTGAAAGTATTTTTTGGTTTCATATCGTTTCAAATCGTAGCAATTTTGTCTTGGCTATTAGCCAAATTAATTTTGATTGTTAGTTAACCAACTATACTGAGTTGGCTGGTCTATGTATCGTTCACGTCGTTTTCTTTTCAGAGTTAAAATGCAAATTTGCCTAGGAAGTTTTCACTTAGAAGCGCTGGGTATCCGAAAGTTTCAAATTGTAGCAATGTTTACCCCAGATGTTATCCATGTTAAGTTTGACCATTAACTAACCAAAGATGCTGAGCTGGTAGGTCCACATATGATTCATTTCATTCCCGGTTCATAATCCTAATGCCCTTTCTCCAACATAAAAACAATTCTTTTCACACATCTATTATTTCGTCATTTGCTCTTAGTTTAGTGCTTTTTATAAGAACAAAAATAGAGCACAAAAATATAGCAAATAATATATGTAAAGGAGAAGCTTACAAGAATTCTTGAAGGATATAATCAATGAGGTCGATTTCAAAAATAACCACAGGTTTGGAAAGCATAGAATCAATGATTTTCCTAGAGCTAGTACTAAATCCTCATCTTCAAAACGAAAAAAATTTAAGTGGATCACATGTGGACCAACCAATTCAGCGTATTTGATTAATTAATGATCAAATTTAACATGGATAATAGTTGGGGCAACATTGTTACAATTTCTAAACTTCTGGATACCAATCGCTCATAAATAAGAACTTATAGGATAAGTTTGCACTTAACACCCAAAAAAAATGACGTGAACGACATGTCGACAAGCCAACTCAACATAATTAGTTAACTAGCGGTCAAACTTAATCTAAATAATGGCTAAAGCGACATTGAGCCAAAAAATACTTTTGGATATCTAGTGCTTCAAAGCGCAAACTTCTAAGATGAATTTACATCTTAACCAAATTATTAATGACCTAATTCGATTATGCATAAAAGAGGGTTACATGTAATTCTGATGCTTGCCTACGTTCCTATTGTTTGGTTGGTTCAATGTAATGCATCCCCACATTAAAAAAAAAAAAACCTATGTAATCCCTGTTCCCATATGCTATAATCCATTTTTTTTTTTAAAAAAAAATGCTCCTCACCCTTCCGAAGCTCCCGTCATCTTTCTTCTCCCCATCTCAAACCAACGCTAGCAAACGATACCCCACTGCCACCTTCGTCCAGATCAACAACTTCAAACGCCATTGGACAGCATCATTCAAATCAACCAAGATCAAATGCCATCAAACCCCGCAGCCACGATCAACGACCTTTTCCCTTCCAATACTCGAGTTCACTACCAAATCTGCTTGCTAACCACCCATTCTCAAAGATCATAGAACTTGTAAAACAGTTACCACCAAATCCATTGGTAATCTCCATTTTCAACCAACCGCTTCCTCACTCAATTATAAATCCTATCGAGATTATTTAAAATGACTTCAAAACAGTTTTTTAATCATGATTTACAACTACAAAATAAATATAAAATAAATATATGAAAAGAATTTTATTTCAATTCATGTTAACATGCTTATAATTCGCTACTCCAAACAAGCCTGAACTTTTTTTCATTGCTGCTTTTTATGAATAATTCCGATTTTCTATGAAGATTGATGAGATTTTGTGAGTTGATTAGGTATGACAAAGAAACACCAGAAGGAGGAACGCCTTTTCCTTTTCTTTTTCGTCGAAAGAGTATTTTGTCTTTTGGATTTTATCTATATTTAAGTAAATATCAATAACATATTTAGTTACCCCCTTCAATATTGTATCAAACAAACTTATCCGAGTCACCCTTACGTGACATTCGATTCTATTACATTCTCATTGATTCCATGAACGAAACGAGCTCTCTTCAAATCGTATATACAAGATCAATGGAACTGTTACTTTTACGCAGACATGGGATTTTGACCGCTTCATTTTTTCCTCTAACCTCTCTTTTTCCTTTATCATTAAATAAATAAGATAAAACCCCCCGTGCATTGTTCTTGTTTGATTAATAATGAGTTTGTTTCCCGTCATTTTGTGCCTATGTAAAATTGTAAATGTCCCTTTAAAGAATTGAGATAACTTCATACTTCCCAAGGGAAAAAGTTATCACGAATTTCAGTTCTGCAGAACCAAGTAGGCAACGAGCCAGCCAATCAATCGTGGTTGAAACAAAGGGTTAATCACACTCCTAACCCGTGATATCCTTGCCCAGAGAAACGTTAACGGGGAATGATCTGTGCACTCTTGTTCTCGAGATGGGGCCTTTTTCATTGGCAAAACTGACACCACCTTTCTTTGTGTCCGAGACGGATTTCTCAACTGTGTCTGTCATTTCAGTAATGAATTGCAGCCCCTGAATAACATTGAATCAAGTCACCGATGGACGGAGATTGAGAATGATGAATTTGAACAATTTATAGAGAAATGACAAACCTTAAGCGAAGATTTACCCTCAAGAGCCTTTGTTGAATGGTTTGCAAGTTCCGTGCTGACTTCCTGTCAAATGACTCCAACAATCAAAATTAGCACCCCCCCCGGGGGGGGGGGGACAGAAGAAAGGAAGTTAACTTAATAGGCATGGACCTCGAAGATGAAAAATCTTAGAGGATAAATATAGAAAGATCAAAAATCTGACCTTGAATATTCTACTGCTTGGCTGCTCTTTAAACCCATCAGCTAATTGGCACAGATACCAGAGACCTGAGTTAGTTATGTCCTGCATGAAAATTTCAAAAGAAGCAAAGGTGAAAAATCATGTGAGCGCGCATGCGCATGTAAATCAGAACATATTCTAGACAATAATAGTTAATCCATGTAACTGCAGAGTTAAATCAATGACCTGTTTGCTTTCAACAAGCTTGAGCTTTCCTTCCTGTCAAGTTAATAAAACACATTAAAGTCAGAACTTCAACAATGCAATGCTTCAAGTTGATTTGATGCTTAAAAGTGGTAGGGGAGAAATATAGTTTACCAGGCCGGACATCATTTCATGGATGCGTTCAAAATCACCCCCAATTTGTGAAAGGTTTGACTTCACTTCATTCACCTGTATGAAAGTAAAAATAAATGAGCATGCAGGAACGAACTTCCACATATAGCCTGAGATGAATTTTTCAATTTACCAAAGAAGCTCGCTCTTAAAACTGACTGCAGACCACCCAATCCACAAGGGATACTAATGTTATGAAGGAAGAAGCAAAGTTCAAGTTGAATTTTGCCATGCAAAAGTAACAATATCAACTTCAATCCCAACAAAGCAATTCAAACCATAAAGGAGGACGGGCATATTGATCCAGATACTAATAGTCATAATTCACTGATTCTTAGGAATAACTTGAAACACAGTTCATTTGATTGATCCTATATTTAGAGGTGTCTTCTTCATATGTAACAACTTCTTGCCTTAATCGCATTGATAAAGTTGCCCAGATTGTAAAGAAAATCAACATCTCTTACATCATTTGCCGTAAGCTGGGTTAACTCATTGTGCTCCTCAACTTTCAGGTCCAAAACTTCTAGTTTCTTTGTTAGATGCTTTCTAGTTGACTGCATGCATCGTTTAAACAAGGATGTTCAGCATCCAACACAGATGTAAGATGGTCAAACTGTGAAAATTTTATGTCAACAGTTGCGACTTACAGCTAATGTTTCATGTACATTCTCCAATTGCTTTGTCACGGTTGCAACAGCATTGGCCATATTACGCTTTGTCACAAACATTACATCGGAAAATGACCATCCCTGAAGAGGAAAACTATGATGAATGCATTAATAGCATCATTATATACCACCATTGCTTCTAGATCAATTGCAGAGATATACATAATCTTTTGATTAAATAATAGTCTCACCCTCCACCGCATGTAGCAATAACCCATAGCTCCTATTGCAGCAGCTGGTAATAGGTAAGATGCATAACTCCCTATGTGCAAATAATTCAAACCAACAGCATTTTATAGTTAGAAAAAAGAAACCCTTTTAGATAGAGAAAAATATTACTCTGCCATTATAATAAAATCACTCTGCTTTTATAACATCAGAGTAACAGGCAAGATTAGAACATCCTAGATCTAACAAGGTGATCATTCAAAACCAAAACCAGGAAAATCCAGCGTCTCACTCACTAACTTTGAAGGAACACATAGTAAAGTACCAACACAAAGGGAAACATTGTAACAGGGATACTAGGAAAACATGAATAAATAAGGTCATTTTGGCCATATAGAGAATCTTGCAGGTAGAATAACTCAGTTAACCATTCACGAAAATCTTGAACTTCAGCAAAAATGGATTGAAAGAGATACAATCAGGTGCCTTTAAGTATTGTGATAAAAATATAATTTTTATCACTACAACTAACTCAAAAGGAGCAAAGAAAGAGACATGCAAAACTCATGATAAACTGAAAATAATTCATGCTACATACCATTAGAGGAAGAGTTGCCATTGAAGATAGTTACAGGATTGGATGAGGTCAGCTCCCTAATCTCCTGAGCTAGTTGTCGAATCTGAAGTTAAAACATGCAGGTTTATTTTGCATTAATTAGTGTATTCCCTCTAAAGATATAACTTTAATATGAATTATCTTGTAATTTAACAATAATCAGATTTAAAGATATGGGGTAAAAGAAAGGTTTTGTCGTTCAAATACATCACACAGATGCTTCTGTCTTGTTCATCAAAAGGTCGCTTCACTTGCGCAAAATGTCAGAGGTGGGCCTGATCTACTGAGCTAGTTACCACCATTAGCTATGACCAAGCATGTAGTCAGAGTATAGACAATAAGATCCTTATTTGGCAGGTTTGCAATATGTCTTTGGCCGATATGACTAAGAGTTTGGTTGTACATTTGACGTTGAGGCTTCTATAGCTTTGAAGTTTATTCGTTTCCAGAAGCAATAGTAGCATAGTGTTCACTGGCCCTGTAGAGTCATTAATGGTTTTGGCCACATCTTATTTAGAAGAGGAATATTTTCATGTGCTCTTTGTGGATTTCTAGAAATGGTTCCTTTTTTCTATTTCTCCACTTTGGGTGGAAGGGGGAGGGATGCTCCTTGTGGACATCCAAAGAAGCCACCAGATAACATTAAGCTTGCAATACCTGAGCAGCAATGGCTGCGGTGTCATATCGGCCTGGTGAAATCTCAGCTTCATCCACACCCTTCAGCAATTCCTGAAGCTGTGCAATGAGATCAGACAAACGGCCGCTTCTCAACACAACAGAGCCAGTCAAACCTAAAATTCAGAAAAAGAACTTCATTACAGTTCTCGTCAGTTCATGAACAACGACGAATGAGTCACATGTACACAATCCTATTCTTTTTCTTTTTTTTTGGGCAAAGTAAAAGCTCGCCTCGACCGAGCCAAATGAACCATAAGACAAACGAAAAAGAAGCAGTTTTTCTTTATGAAGGTTTTAAAAGGACTGAAGTTACGAGCTTCTAGATCAGTCAATTAACCATTGAACTGAATTTCCAGTGCCTTGCAAGTTCATCAACAAAGCAGACTTCTGGGATTTACCATTTGGGAGGTTAATTAGTCGGAAATTCCCAACAATTCAAAACAGACAGAAGGATTTCAGAATAAGATATAAAGTAAACGGTTACCGGCTCCGACAAGTATAAGAATTTTGGAGGTTTGAACTCCCGCTTGTAATGCCATTTTTTCGCGAAGACAAAGCGCCCTCTCTTTCTTCACCCCACAGGAGGACCAATACGATTTTACAAAGAACCCCGTTGGTCGGCCTTATTTAACTAAAAATTTCGGCAGAAGAAAATCTTTAACTGAAAATTAAAGTTTTTATAAAAATTTTATATCCAATATTTATTTAGCCAAACTATCGTTTAATATTCTTAATTATTAATTAGGACAATGTTGAAGGTGTTGAAGAACAATAATATTTAAAAAAAATACCATAATATTTAGTTTTTAATTTTTAAAATCGATCAAATATGCTTCTCATTTATTTGAGACTTCGTGTCTTATATAAGAGCCGCATCTGATGCCTGATTCATAATTATTTTATCACTAATACTAATACTACTACTAATAATTTAAAAAAAAAAAGTGCGAGAATTTCACCCAAAAAAAAAAAAGACTGCAAGAAAACAAAAGGGTGGGCAATTTTGACTTTTTGGATTGTTATGATTGGGATTGACTTCCTGGCAACGCAAGATTGCAATTTTTGTACTTGTCTATCTGCACGGCTACCGCCTTCCCTGGTCACTGCGCCAAGGAGCCACTTCCAGATTTTGCAACCCACAAAGCAAAATGATGCCTTTTCTATTTCTACTTCTGTTAGCGTCTTCCTTGATTCATGGGTATGCTCAGGATCGGCCTAACGACCAATCTTCCATGTCCTTGGTAATAACTCAAGGTGGTCTTGATTTCGTGAAAGAATTGCTTGTAAATAAGGCAATTTCGTCAATGATCCCACTTCGATTGCCCAATATTGAAAAGACTGTGAAAATTCCAGTTGTGGGTGATGTTTTCATGGCGCTTTCGAACATCACTATATATCAAATTGACGTTCCTTCGTCGAATATCAAGCCCGGGGAAGATGGGATTTCCATTATAGCTTCGGGCACGAGTTGTATTTTAAGTATGAATTGGTATTACTCTTACAGTACGTGGCTTGTGCCCGTCGAAATTAGTGACAAAGGTAGCGCTTCAGTTCAGGTATATAACTTGGAATTTTGGTTAGTTTTTGAACGTTTCGTTATATATTCAACTAGATTCCTTCTCCCCTGCGTTGAACGATTTTCTGGAGCTGAAAGAGTAATTGCCAATGGGATAATTTTTGCTCGATCTACTTATATATTGATTGATTGAACTTGTGAAATTGCAGAAGCCGACTACTCTGAGCAATCAGAATAGACTTGCAATTTTTTTCACTTCCAAGATAGCTACAATATCCCATCTAGCCCTCCTTATACATTTTTCACTCTCACCTTTGGGTAAAAAATTAATTACAACATTTATTAGTTATTAACAGGCACTCTGACTCCCAATTCTTTTCTCCTGACACACACTCAATGAACACTGGAACATATAATTTTTTTTTTTAATATGCATCATTTTGAAGGAATTTTGCCTAATCAGGCTATACTTTCATTAATGACGTTGATAGAACTGTAAAATAGGACTTGGCGCTATTAGTTTCTTTTCATTCCAAATGGGGTGGAGGATCTGCTGTTTTGCTAGTAGTCAAGTTTCTTTTAAGTTTATATTATCCTACGCAAATATTTTATGAACATGTTTCACTCTCAGCTTTGGGTAAATTAATTAATTACAACATTTATTAGTTATTTACAGGCACTCTGACTCCCACTTCTTTTCTCCTGATACACACTCAATGAACACTGGAACACATTTTTTTTTTTTTAAATATGCATCATTTTGAAGGAATTTTGCCTAATCAGGCTATACTTTCATTAATGACGTTGATAGAACTGTAAACTAGGATTTGGCGCTGTTAGTTTCTTTTCATTCCAATGGGGTGGAGGATCTGCTGTTTTGCTTAACTTTATGGTAGTCAAGTTTCTTTTAAGTATATATTATCCTACGCAAAATATTTTATGCATATTCCCGGTGTATCCTGATTCCTGCTCAGGCTCTAGATGATGCCCATTCGTTGTTCCTACTGTGTTGTTCTGCTGTTTGTATTTTTGTCTCATCTTCCGCACAATGTAAACAAAGAGGAAATTAATAAGTTCTATTGCTGCAAAGGTTGAAGACATGGAAGTTGGACTTACATTGGGCATGGAGACTCAGGAAGGATCACTGAAGCTGGTCCTGAAGGACACTGGGTGTGACATCAAAGACATCTCTATTAAATTGGATGGAGGAGCATCTTGGCTTTATCAAGGGTATGACCATATTTTCTGGTTACTTCTGTTACTTCATTTTAGAAATCTTGCTGGCAATGGATATGCTATCTCCGTTTACTGTTCATATTGGCTGTTTTCCTATGGTTTATCTATATGTTTAACTGCCCTTTTTTCCCTGAATTTATCTACAAATCAGAACAATATGTTTGTAACTACGGTGCTTTGAGGCCGAATTAAAGTTCTTGGATCTACCACATTGAGGAAGTAGCACAATGACCTTTGTGGTTTTTCCCCTCACATTTAAGGGAAAAGTAGTAGTATAAGCAAGAATCTATTGCAGAATCCATTAGGTATTTTTCACTTTCTTACTTTTTATGTTGAAAGAAGTACGTTCTTTAATTTATAGTAACCTACCTGATTACAGTACAGTCTGGTATTTAAGCATCAAGGGTTATTATGTGGTAGTTTGGAACCTTTTTTTTTTTTTGGCAACAGCTTAGAAATCCTTTGGCAGTAAATTTTCTTTTTTTCTTTTTTCTTTTTAAAAAGGCCAACAATTTCAACTTTTAGAATAATGAGAAAATGAAAGAAGCTTATTCAAACTGGACTCTGGCTGGCATCATTTTTCTGGTAGGATATGATCAGCTTGCTTACAAGATGTTTAATCTCTTCCATCTGTGATGAAGATTATGTGCAGATCTTTCTTGAAACCAAAAGATTAACTGCAACTAAACCCATTTTGAACCTCTCCTAATGCTAATAGTCATCAACTGGATAAATGACTTTTAGCACTAAGCTTTTAGACCAACAATCCAATAATAAGTACAAAATCAACAAATCAGATCCTTCTTCAAGTTTCTTGTTGCCTCAACGTATGCTTCTTTTCCTTTCAAGCATCTACCTAATCACGTAAGGGATAGATATTAGGGTAGTTTGGACTTTTGGTTAAAAAGTATCAGCTGCATGGCTTTGATAATTATAAGTATGGAGCAGAGAGACAGACACCAAAAACCAAAAGGACATACAAAAAAAGGAAAGAATGCAGCAAAGCTGCCTGATCTTTCTGCACACCCGCTAGAGATGTCCCTTTGGAGTTCGGAAGATCTGAGAACAACATCAAAGAGAGGCAATTGAATTATTCGGTACCAAAATAATGTAGAAGTGCTGAAGCACCCAAGAAGAAATGCGAGCTTGCCTTTCAGCCTAGTACATCATAGATTCAATATTAGTGCGTTACCAAAGCATATTGACCTCCTTATTATTTTCAAATATCTTTGTATTTTGTGAGGAGAAACTGTTCCAGATTTACAAGATGTACTCACCAAAATTTATAGAAAATATAAGACTGCTACCTAGCAATGTGCAAAATGATCTGATTCAGAGCTAGAAATACACATAACAAAAAGAAATCTATATGACCTTCATACATTTTCTGTTGATATATTTCTTCTGATACATTTTTTTTAGGGGTTGTCTTGTGAGTTGTGACTCATACTTTTGCTTCTCATTTGACAGGATGATTAATGCTTTTGAAGGGCAAATTGGGTCAAGAGTAGATGATGCTATCACCAAGAAACTGAAAGATGGAATTTCAAGACTTGATTCATTTTTTCAAAAGCTTCCAAAGGATATTTCAGTAAATAACAATGCTTCATTGAATGTAACTCTTGTGGTGATCCTTTATTTAGTGATTCATCAATTGGATTTCAAGTAAATGGGTTATTTATAGAAGGAAATGTGAGGCTCCTAAATACTGGCTCAAGAATCCCAAAATTTCTTTATTCTGCACTAATTCATAAAAAATGCTTGGAATTGCTCTGGATGAGGCTGTCTTCAACTCTGCATCATCCTTGTTTTATAATGTAAGTTTGGTTTTTCTATGAAGATTTGGTTTCATTGTTTTGCATGTGCTCTTAGTAGCAAAGCGTAGATTTTTTCTTTTCTCACCGTATTCCTCTTTGTTGATTATGGGGTGGTGTGGAATGTGAAATAATTTTGTGTCTTCAGGCAAAATTTATGCACTGGGTTGTGGACAAAGTACCAGATCAATCTATATTGAACACCGCAGGGTGGAGATTTATTGTTCCCCAACTGTATAGGAAGTACCCAAATCATGACATGAACTTGAATATATCTTTATCTAGTCCTCCTGTTGTTGAGTTCTCAAATCATAAAGCCAAGGCCAACATATTGCGGACTTAACAATTGATGTGATGGAAGGAGAGAAGAAGTAATACCAGTGGCTTGCATCTCATTGGTAGGATCGATTATTAAACTAATCACATTTTCTATTTTAGTTGGTTCTTGTGTATGCTTTTGCCATCTCTAACTTGTTACTTTGGTTTGATCAATTCTTTTGGCCGGTAAGGGTATAAAGTGGAGCTTACCACGCAATGGTTGACCATAAGAGGAAATCTTTTGAACTTCAGCGTTTTCTTTTAAACCTTGATGGAACATTCATGAATCATGAATAGCTTTCTTGTACTCGTTTTGAATTTTTACACTGAGAGAAATAAGAAAATAAAATTTAGCCTGTACTAGCTTTGATTATAAGCTCATCCCAAGTCATTAATGAGTAAAGCTAATCAATTGGCCAAACTGCTGAATTGGCCCGCTCACTATCCTTGGGTGTATTATGCTTACGTAGATAGCTATTGTTGGTCTTGTATAGTTTGAACATCATTTTTAAGGTTACAGGAATCGGATTTGGGGAGTGCAATCTATATTTTCCTTTGGTCCTATTTATAGGGTAGAGAGAGAAGTTTTTTTTTTTTTATCCCATTTACAAGTCACTTCATTAAATTTTCAGTGTGAATATACTATTTATCCTTAATTTATTATAGTGTAGATAGTTAT